CAGTGTGCTTCATCCATCTCTTCTCCTGCCTCCCTTATATTTTCAGAAATGGGCAGCAGCTGGTAGGAAAACAGCCTCTGTGTTTTCTCCCGGGAGACCCAGGTTTGGCCCTTTGGGAACCAACGCGGCTCTTATTTTGGAGCGGCACCAGAGCATGTTGATATTTGAAAGGATGCCTTCCTTGATTTTTCTTTTTAAAAGGATGCTTTTACTCCATCTCTTCTCCTGCCTCCCTTATATTTTCAGAAATGGGCAGCAGCTGGTAGGAAAACAGCCTCTGTGTTTTCTCCCGGGAGACCCAGGTTTGGCCCTTTGGGAACCAACGCGGCTCTTATTTTGGAGCGGCACCAGAGCATGTTGATATTTGAAAGGATGCCTTCCTTGATTTTTCTTTTTAAAAGGATGCTTTTACATTCCCCCCCCCCAAAGAAAAGATCCAAGATTTGGTGTTAGGGCCAAAGAGGGGGGAGGAGGTGGCAGAACTTTGGGGTCTGGAAAGGAGAAGGAGGAGGGTGTGAAGAAAGGAGGAAAAGAAGTGGGCTTTTTTTGGGGGGGGAGGGTGTGTTGAAATCTAAGAGCCATGGAGGGAGGCACCGATCAATGCTATGGAGTCTGCAGCACCGGCGTCCTTGAGGTCTTAATTTGGGATGATTCGGAGGCCTCTGAAGTCCCCCCCCATTGCCCAGAGATGTTAAGGGTGGGGGGGCAGCTGAGACAGCTGTTAGAGATGGGGGGCAAAGGTGCCTTCTGGAGCCCAGCCCCGTTCCCTCTGGCAGGGCTGCCCATGTAGGGGGTTGGATCTCCCTGCCCGGGGTTCCACGCGCCGGCTCACACCGGTGTGGGTCTCCGCCCGTGGCGATCCAACCGCTTGGCATGACTCTCCGAGCTGACCTCAGCCATCAGGGTAGAGGAGACCTTTCTTTAGGGCCTCGGGCTGTCGCGTCTTTGGGACACGCGGCCTCGTTCCTGCAGGAGAGGTCATTGGTGCTGCAGTAATTAAGCAAGTCGAGCGCCAGTCGGTGAACCCGGCAGGGAAGCCGAGAAAAGAGGTTGGCTTCCTGAGAGAAAACCCCAGCCCTCGTCTTGGAGGCACCTTGAAGGCAGGATTGGGTCCCACAGGAGCTGGTGGGGTGGAAGACAGGCCACGAAGGGAGCGCGTGGCCCAGCGGGACCCCGCCTCCCTCTCCGCCCCCTCGGCTCAAAGCCTTCTGCGTCAGCCGAACGAGAGGTCCGTTCCGTTCCCTTTAATCCAGTTTAGAAGCCGAAATCGAGCCAAGAGCCCCCGATGGGCTGCTGAGTTCTTTGAGAGCGAGGGTCCCCAGTTTAGCCACGGCTGAACATTTCTGCAAGAGGGAGGGTCCGGAGCCCTCTCTGAGAGAACACAAGGAGGTCCAAACAGAGGCCTGGGGCTGGGTGGGCCAAGGGACCCCGGCTGAGACTCTAGCCGTGCACAGAGTCTGGATCACGGATGGGATCCGGCCAGCGGCCAGGACCTTTGACACGGACACTGTTCTTTGAGTGACGGGGTGGGAAGGAAGATGGGCAACCCCCCGCCCCACCTTGCTTCAGCTTATGTCGAATAAGAGAAGGGGGCCTCTCAGAAGGGTGCGCTTCCCTCACCCTGTTGACCCGGCGGAGCCTGTGGAACCTCCAGTCACTGGATCTTACTTGTCTTTGGCATTGAAAGCTGGGATCGTTCTGGCCCGCTTTCTGTCCTTCAGTCTCTGAAAGGCTGGACATCCTGGCGAGGCAGGAAAGCCGTCCGTCGAGAGGAGCCTGGAGAAGAACTCCGGGTAGTCCTTGCACCCACCTGAAAATGGGTCTCCAGGAGGGGACGAACACAGCTTTCCTGGTGCCATAGAAGCCTGCCCCGAGGGTCCATGTCAGAAACCGCCTCGGCTTGTACTTTCTGTTCCTTATTCTCCCGTCCCAGCCTCCTCCTCTTCCCAGGGAACAGACAGCCCATAAAGATGCTTTTAAAGCCCTTAATTATTTAGCCGGTTAGCAAAAAATAGATCCCAGAGCCATTCTTGGGAACATTGTGTGCCGGGAGGGGGGGGCAGCAAAGCAGGGCAGGCAGGAGGATGGGCCGGGCTCTGTTTTGGGAGCGGCTGGGCTGGGGAGCATGGTTTCACCTGGGTGAGACATCGAGGCGGAGTTGCCGGCTTTCTCCGAACCATCCTGGGAGCCTGGAAGGGTCTGAACTTGGTCGTGACATCTTGTCCTTTTGCACGACGAGACGGTGTGGAGGAGCGTTCCAGTCTTCTGTAAGGCCTTCCTGTTCATAAAACGAAACAAAAACGCACGCACAAAAGCCCAAAGCTTGGCGCGGGACTCAAAGTGATTCAGATTATGAGAAGGGGAGTCGGGCTTAGCAGAAAGTGGAGTTTCCCAATGAGACGCTCTGTGGGCAGCAGAGTGGGTCACCCAAGGAGGTGGGTGGGTGACCTTCCCTAGGCAGATGGGCGGGTTTCTGGCATCAATAAGGTGCTTGGACCAGATGATTCTTGAGTTGCCTCCCTAGTTCAACCGTTCTGTGATCCTGGGAGTCCAGGTGAAGGCCTTTGGCTTGGCGGATCCGGAGGATGGAGGAACTGGCGCTGGGAGGCGAGGGGCGGAGAGGCCCCTTCCCCAGCCTCCTGGGGGCAGCTGCTGGGGCGACCCGACCCCCAGAGGGCCTGGGTTCCAAGCTTGCTTCTCATCGGCATGCCATTTGGTGGCCTTCTGGAGGTACCGGCCTGACTCCCAGGACTGTGGAGAGATTCCTGAGGAGCAGTTTGGACAAGAGACACGACAAAGCATTTGTGACGAGGTGGCGCGTCTTGCAGTCTGCACGCTAGAACGTATGTTTTATTCCCGGCGTGGCTTCTGCTGTTGGTGTTCAACCCCTTTTAGTTCCAGGGGTGGCTTTTCCTGTTTTCTGAGTCTTTTCTCCCCTTTTTCAGATTTGTTATCTCTCGCCTGCCACCTTCCTCCTTTTCCACACTTCCTCCTTTCCACCCTCTCCCTCTGTGTACGTGTGAGGGTTTTCCTCTTCAATTTCTCCGCCTCTTTCCGCCCAGCTGCTATTCATGCCTCCCTTTTTTCTTTCTTTCTTTTCTTTTCTCCTTTTTCCGGTCTGCCCCATCCAGGTCCTGCCAACTAACCCGGAGGAAAGCTGGCAGGTCTACAGCTCCGCTCAGGACAGCGAAGGGCGGTGTATATGCACGGTGGTGGCACCACAGCAGACCATGTGCTCACGGGATGCCCGGACAAAGCAGCTACGGCAGCTGTTAGAAAAGGTGAGCCGAGGTCCTGCCTTATCGCGAGAGGTGGGGCTTGGAAAACGTGACAGGGGAGCTGAGTGGGAAATGTAACGTTGAGCTGAAATCCTGTGGTAGGCAATTCCTGGGGTGATTCGTTGGGCTCAACAACAACTACAACTGATTCCCTGATTTTTTTTTTGAGGGGGGCACGGTTTGACGTTTAACCACATAAGCTGCTTTTAGTTGAAGGACCGGATCCGGCGGGTGGTTCCCCTCTAGAGCAGAGTGAGTGGATTGGTGGGCTCTCCATATGCAGCTGATGAACTGCTCAATCGCTCAGGGGTTCAGGTCTCTGGTTCGATTCCACCCACCGTCCCCCCGGCCTCCCTGACAGGGGCTGGACTGGATGATCTACAGGGTCCCTTCCAGCTCTGCATGTCTAAGAGGATGATGATGATGTGAAATATCCAAATTAAGGTGCAGTAATTTACCTGGCTGGACAGCTCAGGGGTTTACGTGTCCGGAGATGGAGAGTTCAGTCCCCCCCTGTGCCTCCTTCACAGGGGATGCAGTAATTTAGCTGGCTGGATAGCTCAGGGATTTACGTGTCCGGAGATGGAGAGTTCAGTTCCCCCCACGTGCCTCCTTCACAAGGGATGATGACTGAAAGGGTCCCTTCCATCTCTGCAGCTGTAACATGATGATGATGATGAGGAGGAGCAACAGGGACTAACCAGTGGGTTTAGTCTGCAGCTGTAAGATGATGATGATGATGAGCAAGAGGGACTAACCAGTGGGTTTAGAAACCATGCATGTTTACCAGCCGAGGTTTTTGGGGAGTGTTCTTTGACGTTTCCATCCGTCTCTTCCAAAGGCAGCTGTTTTGAGATTTGGTTGATATACGCATTCATTTCAGCCCGTTTGATGAATGGATTAAAGGGCTGTTGATTCATCCAATCATCCCCAGCGAAGCAGTTGTCTCCGCCCCGTGTGGCTGATATTGAATGTGAGATGGGCTGACTCCATAAAAGGAGCTGTGGCCTTCGGTTTTGCTGGACCTGTTAATCATAGGACCATCTGGAGGTCATTCATTCATTCCTAAGGTTGCCATAGATTTAAGAGATTTGATAGCCCTTCACGGCCCTTTCGTTTCCAAGATGCATGCCCCCTAGTTCTGCCTTGATGTGCATCGGTTAAATCCGGAGATGGGCACGAACCACCGAACCGGCAGTTCGTTTGCACTTCAGCCAAACAGGTGCTGGACAGTTCCCCAACCCTACCAGAGAAGGCAGAGCTTTGAAGAACCAAACACCCCTTCGGCTGACGAACAAACCAACACAAACTGCCAGTTCATCTCTCGTTTCATCAGTTCAACTTTGGATTTGAAATATGATACACTGAACGACAAATTTCATTGGCATGAGATTTCCTCCCCCCCCCCCACCGCCACTGCCTCCTGCAATTAAAATGGGGTTCCTTGCCACTTCTTGATTCGTTTGGCAGGTAATAATTGCGAGACGCAAGCTATCAACTCATCCCTACTAAACGCTCTTCTCTATGCTGTGAAATTTCAAATATCCCCATCAGATGTCACCTAGTGTCAAACATTTGGAGATTATCTGACATTAAGATTTGCCGAGGAGACTGGCTGAGAGGGGAATAAATTGATTTCATTCCATTAATTTCGCTCACTTGGACGTTTGGGCGCTGAAAGCCACGGAAAGTGCTTGAGAGAGAGTGCAAGACGGGTGGAATGCATCTTACTTAATTAGAACGATAGAAAAGATCAAAGCCTTGGATGTTGCCCCAAATAAATCAACTTGGAGAGAATTATTACATCTCCAACCGGCTTGAGTCACATTGTTTTTTTTTTTCATTAATTGTGCGTGGTGACATTTTAGAGGGGAAAAAGTCTCCCCAACAGACAAGTGACATGCAAAATTAAAACGGAGGGCCACGCTCTCCTTTTCCCGCCGACATTAAAAAAAAAGGTTGAGCAGGATCGCAGCCTAGGAAAAAAAAAAAAAGGGACACTCTGTGGTCTCTCAGCAGCCCTCGTGTGCTCTGTTTTTAATAGTCTGCAGTAGTCCAGAGAGATCAGAAGAATCTTATTAGGGGATTTATAATCTTGGGATCAAGAGATTTGTTGCTTAATCACTTCCGCGGGACGTCTACACATTCTTATGAAATTATGTCCCCTCCCCCCCCACCCTCTGTAAATTAATGGGATTCTTGCGGCTGGACGTTGTGTTATCGCTGGACTTGATGAATACGGCAACATATTGTTCCTCCTCTCCCCCCCCTTCTCCCTTGCATGGAGCGATCTGACGCATTCCCCCTGCCAACTTTTGGGAATCTATTTTTAACACAAGAGCCTGCCAACGGCCTGGCTGGGACCAAAGATGGAGCCTCGTTTCCTTCCAGCAGACGGACCTTCGCTTCTGGGCCACCATCAGCGCCGGCAGGCCTTCCTTCTCGGACTGTTTGTTCCCCTAACCCCGTCTCCTGCCTCTTGGAAGATGGAGGGACATTTCGAAGTGAGGCTGGAGCAGCCCCTGTGGAGCTAGTTGACCTCTGTGGGTTCACCCTGTCCTTTCTCAGACAGCCAAGAAGAGAAGAGACCCAATCTGTGGGAGAGTCCTCTTTGAGCAGGCTGCTCGACCACCAGCATTGTTTCCATAAGAGGTTGGGTAGCCCAAGAGAGCTAAGTCAACCCAAGACGGAGTTGTCTCCACTTCTGACGATGCTTCCTTTGGCTCTACCAGCACCACCAGGTGATCAGACACCCTTGCTTCCCAGAAACCATTTCCACCCAGTTTGATTCCCCCACTGGACCGCCTTGACAGGCTCTCTTGAGGGTCCCTTCCAGCTCTGCCATTCTAAGATCTGAGATCTATAACCCAAGATCATTGCCTTGTTGGCCCCTGAGGAAAGGAGAGGCTGGTGGCTGAAAGCCAATGGGGACGGTTGCCCTCGGAGGAGCTTCGGGAGAAAGCCGCTTTTCTTTGAGGTTGGCCAACGGTCAAGGCACCAGCTGGGGTCGCCTTTGTTCGATCTGGAGGAGGACCGCCGCCCCAAAGGAAGGCTGGCCATTTTTCCAGCCGTCTGTTGCACGCCTGGCCGTGCCCCAAAGGTACGATCCGGGATGCATCTGGTCCTACGATCAATTGCACCATCAATCACGCGCCCAGATGTGCGACAGACAGATGGATGACTGTGAACACCCCACCCCGAGGTGTTTTTTTGTTCTTTGCCCTTCCGCCCATGGAAAAGTCAATAAAATTCTGGCCCATGTGTTTCAGAATTTCTTTTAAAAATGGGAAAACCACACAGAGGGGAGGACCGTGCCAGTGATGGAGCCCAGAAGTGGTCCTTCCTTGCCCCCCCTCAGCTTCTCCTTTTGCGGACGGAGGGAAGGGACAGAAGATGTGTGGGAGGGTGTGAAGTCGGAAGTGACGCCATCGCTGTACCCAGAGTAAAATTCCATGACAGAAGCCCGGCGGTTGCGCAACACACTCCGTGCCCACGGGACCGACGCGGCATATGCGCAGGTTCTGTTTCTACGCCCGCTCACGCCACCGTCTCCTAATTGGGGTAAGGCAGATGGGCCCGCTTGGGCCGGCTGGGAACCGACACGCCACTCGGAAGAAGAAAAGCTTGTGTATTATTTATCAGCGAGCTATATTTATGCAGGAGCTGCCTACCTGCCCCTCTCTGCGGGTGATGGATGCTGCGGCGATCATGCCAGCCCTCTTCTGTCACAGGCGCTCCCGCTTCCCGCACCTGCCGCCTGTGACGGTCGTGTGCAAACGAGGGGGTGATAATTCATATCAGAGGGGAAGCATCCTTCTCAGTTGAACCCATCTCAGTGGTGGTGGTGGGGGGGTTATGAACAGCTTTCTCTGCTCCCAGATTCGAAGGGAACCAGTGCCAGGGGAAAAAAGAGAGAGACAAGTTTATGCTCCCCATATGTGTGTGTGCCTTCGCTTGCACAGAGGACTGGCTGGGGATTAACCAGGTGCAAAATCATGACAATGCACCTGCTCCCCAAAACAGATGCGTTCTCTGTTTCAGAAGGGTTGCTGGTCATAGCAGCGTCGCGACTGTAGTAACAGGGCTTACGGGGAGCAGCCCAATAAATGACGCCTCGATTTCCATGTGATTTCCTTGATTTCTGCCTGTCTGGTGACACCAATAGATAAGTGAGGTCCTTACAGCTGCTGGAGTAAACCAAGCTGGGGTAGGGGCCAGCAGGGTCGTGCGGTAGGGGAAACTAGAAGCTTTCTCCACTAGGCTTCCCCGCCAAACCCAGTAAACTGGAGCACAATCTGGTATTGTCAGGGGCTGCTCCACCAGCGGGGAGTTGGGCTCGGGTGATCCCTGGCTGCTCTCCCACCTCCAGAATTCTGTAACGTCAGAGATCCGGGGTCTCATTAATTGGAGGAGCCGCAGGGCGCGGTCGTTGGACTCCAGTCCTGCAGTGAAGACTCCGCTCGCAACCTGAGTTCGATCCCAGTGGGCTCAGTTAGTCAGTTCAAGGTTGACTCAACCTTCCCATCCTTTTCGAAGCCGGTCCATTGAGAACCCAGCCTGATGAAGAGGCAATGTGTCGCCCCCATAACTGAATTGCAAACCACCCAGAGAGGGCTTTAAGCACTTTGGGGGGGCGGTATATAAGCAGCACACTTTGTTTTAATTTTGATGTGATGATAATGGTGGCGGTGGTGGTGTTTACACCGCCCAAACGTCATCTCATCTGAAAGGAGGTTCTGTCCGGA